TTAGGATGAAAAAAAATTTATTTTCTTAAAACAAGTCAAATAATCTTAACAATATTCAGTTTTACTAAGAAAATACATTGAAAAACAAATGTAATAAGACCAAAATGCTGAATTCAAGTTTATTAAACTTGTATAGATTTTCCTTTTTTGCAGTGCACTTATTGTAAGAAAGACGCATTTAGAATTACATTTTTTGCAAAACATTTCTAGATGGTTTTTTTTCTTACTTCGAAGTAGAAAAATGCTTGAATACAGAAAGAATTGTATTATTTTAATCCAAGACACAATGAATCAGAAGTGAAATACTGTGTTTTCCTCTAGTAGCCAGCCTAAGAAACACACTGCAAAAAAAGGAAATCTAAATAAGTAATTTCTTCATAAAATAAGTGCATTTTTTCTTGAATTAAGGATTTAACTTAAAATAAGAAAAAAAAACAATTGCATTGTCTTATTTCAAGGGCATTTTATCCAGATACCTTATTTGAAGAGTAAAAATACTTTCATTGGCAAATCATCTCATTTACCTGTTTAAATTAAGGGTAAATACCCTTAATTTAAGACATTTTTACTCGTTTTGAGATCATTTTTGCAGTCAGCTAACTAGATTTGTCACTATCAGCTTCCTCAGATTATTATTATCCTCTGACTTCACTTTCATAAGATCTGTTTCACCGACTTCCCTTCCTCCCACATCAGACCTAACTCTGTTTGACTACACTGCGATACAGAAATAGGTCAAAGACAAGAAGTCTTTAAATATTTCATTTTACAGTAAGAGAGCAGAGCTGATATCAGACAGTCGCTTCCTTTGGTCTTTCCCCTTTGATATGTTGCCGTCTTAAATAATATTGTAACCCGCACCTTTTTTTTTTTCCAGAATTACTTCCTGCTCTTTTAGCGTTACTTTCATTTTCTTCTCCGATGACTGCAGAATTTTAGGCTTTTAGTGCAGTCACCATGATACAGAGATGCACCCATGTTCGCATTAATAACACACGTTTCTTGTCAGACGCAGTGAGGGGATTTGTTTTTGTGTGTTTCCTTCCAGGGAATTAGCTCTGTTTGTTTTTGAAAGGATTTAAGATGAGACCGAGGGAATCGTGGAGGGAAGGGCTCCTGCTCTCTGGGGCTGATGTCACATCTGTCATACATGCAGTGTGTATATGTGTGTGTGGGTATAATTGAAGGCTTGTGTTTGACTAAATTTCCCAGCTGCACTGCTTCTTTCAGCCAGTATGACAGACGTAGGGTTCTTTCTAAAGCGGGGCATACACTGTAAGATTTTTTTTGCCCTTTTTGAGGCCAATTCTCCAGTCGAGCCACTGGAAAAAATGTCTTAAATTAAGTGTGTTTATCCTTAATCTGAGTAGGTAAATGAGATATTTTGCCAATGGAATGAGTA